CCATGAGGCGAAGAAGCCCTGTGATAAAATGTTAAAAACAACAGTGTTGATCCACTTGCATTTGCTTACCATGTTGAGCCATTGTGGTGTCTTCCCATGCAGCTTTGTATTTTAATGCTGCAGGATCATGTCTACCATGTACATGAGGATGCATTTGATGTTAATGGTGTTATGCACCAGGGGATGGGTGGCAACTTTGTATAGGTAGTGGAAGCATTCATTCCAGTGTTCATTGTAGATGAGACATCTGCCACCAACCACAAATCACTACTTGACTTCTGGTCCATTGGTCTAATGAACATTTCCTGAAAGGAAATATAGCAATAAAAATAGAAGACAAATCAGAAACAAATGGGGGGCAATGTGCACTATTGATGACAATGTTACATAGCATATTTTCAACTGAGGTTATTTGCACTTTTTGAGTTAAAAATAGCAATAAGAAATTGAGGGAATGTTACTGCTTGTGCAATATTGGGGAGCATGGTCAGAGTCCAGGAGAACTTTCCATATGTAGTAATCTACTTGAAATTAACTATAAAAGACTGGAAAAATTTAGAGAAAAATGGAGGATAATGGTTGTTGCTTTCAATGTATATGTAGGTACTCTCTGTAGGTAAATGGAAATATACACTTTATCCAATGTAAAATAGCAATACTATATATATATAGTTAATGGGTATAAATCTGATGGGCTTTCAGGAGGTGGTCACATGACTAGTTTCCTGAATAATCAAAAATGTGAATGTTGTGGTGCTGCATTGTAGCTTCCTGAATATAAAAAGGACTCGTATCTGCCATGCTTGCAATGGCCCTCTTGCACAAGTTTGAGAGATCGCTACCCCACAACACCATGGAAGCATGGGTTCCCAGTTACTATGAAACATTTGAAGCATTGGATATGGGCAACCGCTATTTCACAGACCGGCGTGATATAAACGGTGACACTCCTATTTCCTTTGGCACTAAAATCGACCCACACGATATACTTACCAATGCATTGTCCAATGAATTTGTTCATCTCCAAGAAAATAAGGTTGAATATTATGAAGCGCAACAAGGAACTGATAATGTTATACGGTAAGCAATGGAGTGCTCAAACAATTCAAATTTAACTAATACACTGCAGATACTATGAAATCAACCCAATGAAGATACGTCCAGGAGATGTTGTAGAAGTGCAAGTATCTTTTGTTGCAATACCACTTAAGCAACAAAGATACAAACTACTGGTGGTGCTACGAGCTATCACTCTACTAGATTGCAGTCCACTACGAGTAAGCCAACATTCAGCCAAAGTACGCAATGCTAACAGAAAACAGAATGCAAATATTGCACGTCGCATGAGCAGAGGTGCTGAACCCCGTCGAGCCAGCCAATCGCTGAAGAGAAAGATTGGTTATGAAGAGGATGAAGAGCATGATGCTGGGGAGAAATTGAGCAAGATGCGCCTGGACTGAAGGGTGTGACAAATGACTTACGCACCGGTAGTATAAAATGTCATGTTCTGATGAACTGCAGTCTGAGTAATTTCTAACATTGTTTTCTATTAGTTACGGTCAACAGTCGGTGGCAATAAGAAAAAAATAAAACTCGAGCAGCTGATACATCAATATC